TGGTTGGAGAATGAAAAGATATAAAAAGCGATTTTTATGCAAATGACTCTCCAAATGATGATTTAGAGAGTGGGATTTAGAAAGGCTCTTGAAGATGCTCTTATAATTTGAAACGGATTTAATAGTTAATTAGAAATAGACAAAATGTTAAAGCTAACAAGAAATGCAAGCACAGTGCCATGAATGATGAAGGCTATCCAACAAGATGGCAACAAATGGCCCCTACGATTCTAGAAATTCTAAGATCATGGAGGGACTAAATAAAGTGGAGCGCCTTCCCCGTGTGCACAGGCTTAGGAAGTTTCGCCCACACGCCTCCTTCCTACTGCGACCCTGCGTCTTCTTCTTCCTCCTGCAACCCTTGTGTTCTTCTTCCTCCTGTGACTCTGCTCGTGGCCCATGTCTTCTTCTTCCTTCGACGCGCGAGCGTGTGACCCCACGGCAGCCTCCTCCCCCCTCCCGCTGTCGCCATGGCCGCGTCTTCTTCTTCCACCTGGTTCAGTCACCTCCATCGCCGCCAGAACCCTAAAGCTGTCCTTTCCGTTGTCCCCACTGTGTGCCTAGCCTGCCTCTCCCGAGCCCCTTCTCTTCTAAGCCCGCCGCAATTGGGGAAGAAAAGAGCAAGAGAAAGAGCAAGAGATGAGAAGATGGCTCGCCGGAGTTGGAGAAGAAGAGGGTTGGGGGTGGTGGAGAGGAGAAGAGAGAGGCTCGACAGAGTTGGGGAAGACAAGGGTTGGGGTGGTGGCGGGCGTGGGCGTGAATCAAACGGGCCGTCGATAGGCGTGAATCGAATCTGATGGCCGCGACGAGGGTGCCCGCCGCACGACCTGAGCGCGCGCATGTAAATAAGCATTCCCGAAAGATGAATAATGTCTTCAACCTCAACAACAAGAACATTGCTTTCACAAACATCATTAAGGTTTTGCGCTTTCTTAATTACTTTGTATTATTCTTGTAGTAGCGACATTTTCTTTCACTTATATGCTTATGTGGCATCTAGCTATGATTTAATAAGATCTGTTTGTGCAGTGTGCTCGAACGTACGTGTTTTGCTATGTTGTTCCATGCAGCGAGTTATCCAACTACACAATCGAACAATTGATATTTTATTGGATAGAGTTTCGATCCAGGCCCAACATTGTGATTTACTGAATTGATACTGTATAATGCTTGTTAGTACCGACCAAACCGCATCAACCAGGGACTAGGGGATTACATTTTTGGAAATGCTCCTTACTGGGCGTCCATCCGTCTGGACGGATCCCGCACTCGCCCACGCCGCCCCGCTCGCGCCCACGCCGTGCATGACGAGCCCAATGCACTAGGCCTCCTGTCGCGGCCGTGCTTCATCCTTCTACCCCTGCCCCTACCCATGCCCCTATCGAGGTCCGTGCCACCGACGAGCTCCACACGGCGACCTCCACGCCTTCGAGCTCCACGTCGACGAGCCTCCATTCGTCCAAACAACAAGCAGATGCCACGCTAAAAGCGCATGTTGCAATAGTATGTTTCAAGTGTTTCAGATGTTTCCGATGTATATTGCAGGTGTTGTATATCGATGTTGCAAAAGTAGATCGGGATATTGCACATGTTGTAATGGCTATACACGTATGTTTCAAGTGTATGTTCCAAATGTTTCATATGTTTCAGATGAATGTTGCAAGTGTTTTATCTGGATGTTGCAAAAGTAGATCTAAATGTTGCATATACATGCATGTTGCAAGTATATGTTTCAAGTGTTTTCAGGTGTTTCATATGTATGTTTGTAAATGTTTCATCTGGATGTTACATATGTTCACAATGGGTTTCAAATGTTTCTTAGGTGTTTTCGTAAGTGTTTCATTGCCTTTTCTATATGTTGCAACTGTTACATTTGAATATTTCAAAAGTAGATCCGGTTGTTCCACATAGAATGCGCTTTGGAAGCGGCCGGTGGCCCGGACATCCAGGGTGGCGCGGAGCACTACTGGTGCGTTTCCTCGCGAGACCGACGTGTTAGGCGCTTGCTTACTCATATGCAGACAGCGTCCGGACGCTAATGCCCGAGCGTTAGCAAGTCTGCTGCATTTTTGCTAGCAGCGTGGGTCTTGGATGTTAGAATTGATCTCATCCGTCTTAACCCAACGGTCGAGACGGACCCCTTGACCGCGTCTTGATCGGGGACGTCCAACCATCTAATGGCTGGTGGGCCCCCATCGCATAGTGCCTATAAAGAGGAGGTGGGGTAAACGGCTTGGGATACGAGGTTCACCGCCACCACAGCCCCACGGTCCTAACCCTAATCTAATCCAGAGGGTGGCACTGCCAGCGGCGGAAAGCACCACTGCCTTTACCACCATAGCCGGTCTCCACCTCTACTTCATCACCCGTCGCTGCCCTAGAGCAGATCATCACCGGCGAACCAGCGAAGGCAGGGAGCTCCTCCAACCCCTCCGACGGTCAGATGTTCCTACATTTCCCTCTCTCTCTCTCTGTCTCCTACTCCCTCTGAATCTCTAAGTCACTGATTATCCCAAATATAAGTAAACACCCACTGGATCCACTCCTAGATGATCTAAAGACTCAAACATTAGCATCAGAGCCAGTCTAGTATATGGATCTGGATCAGGGAAAGAAAAGCAAATTGAACCCTAACCCTAGATCGGGTACGGGAAAAGTGGGAATGAGATTGAGACACGGTTACAACAAAGAACCCTAACCCTAGCAGTTTGCCAGCCTAGGGTGTAAATCTAGGGTTTCCGAATCAAAAGCAAAGAAAAACGAATGAAAAGAAAGAGTGGAGTTCGAATTCAATTCGGATCCAATAGAACCCAACCCTAACCCTAAAGATAGGGAGCCTACCTGGGCTTTCCTCACCACCGCGCGAAAAGGAGACCGCGGTGTCACTCCCGAACGACGCGCGGGATAGAGCAACGAGCCGCACTGCACCTCGCACGCGCGGTCACGGCAACAGGGCACCACCATGCGGCCCCTCGACGGCGGCATGCTCAGCCTCGAGCGAGAACGCACGCCGGCGAGAGGGCGCTGGGCGAAGCCCCACTGTCGCGCGCGGTGCCGTCTTCCTCTCAGCATGTGTCGTCTACCTGCGCTTGCCACTCGGCTGGGCTAGGCAGCAGGGCTACGGCAGCGCTAAGAGAGAAGAGGGGAAGGTGAAGAGAAACAAGGGAAAAGGGGGGAGCCGACCAGATCTTGCACCGGCGGCGGCCATATTCAATTCAACAGCCAGGTATTATTGGTATCCTTGTTTCTTCATGGCTAGTCTGAATATGTAATAAATAACGCGTGTTAGAAAAGTAAAGAGGAGCTCGGGAGATTGATGGCCAAATGCCACCCATCGCTGTATTGACCAGTGTATAGGAGAGAGTTTCGCTGCGGACGAGCCACCTAAAGTCCCAAATCAAAAAGGTGAATGAACAAATTAAATTTATAATAATAGTTTATATGTCTTATGAGAATGAAGAAACATGTATAGTTGATACCTGGAGTAACACACAGTTCTTAACATAGTCATCCATATATATGATGTGAGATTTCGGAGTTTTAACTGTATAAATGATGATGTGACATAACAATTAAGAGGAAAGAGGAGAAGAGTTTTTTCATCCTCACGAAACCCGGCTGGCATTGTTTTTCCAACCAAACCTCACCCCTTACGTTTTGCCCATCTTGTCTGACTTGCATTCTCGCTGTGCACCGCGCATCCCATATTTACCATACGCTATATGTATTTTATTTTGCATATGTGACTCTATTATATATTTCTGATATCATATGAATATTGAAGTAAATTAAACTTTTGACATTTTTATGCTAATACTTAAATAATATGTATATGTAGTATGCAAGTGACTATATTGTTTATATGGCACATTTGATACCACAATACCATTCAAGAATTAAATGCTACAGCATATAGATAGCATATGAAACAGTGAATGAAACTTTGGATTGAGAGATGTTGTTCCATGTCCTTGTTTTAAGACTGCCACATCTTAGAAACAGGTAGATAAAATCTTCGATTAAGACTGGCCTTACCCTTTGATCAAATGCATTACTATTATCTTTCATGCGTTTAATGTGCCAATGGCATTGTTGCCTCCATAGAAATGAACAAAAGAATGGTATAAAACTATACTTTTGCCAAAATCATTGCAACGTTTGAATACTACTACTTGATACTAGTATACTCTCCTATTCCAAAATAAATCAACTTCTAAAAATTGTCCCAAGTCAAACTATTTTATATTTAACCAAATTTATAAAAAAAAGACCATCAATGCTTATGACATCAAATTAGCATCACCAGATATGCCATTAAATATATTTTTATAATCTACTTATTTGGTATTATAAGCTTTGTTATTCTTCACTATAAAGTTGGTCAAATTGACTTCGGGTGATTTATGACTTGATTAATTTTGGGATGGAGGGGGTATCTTTTTAAAATCGACGGTGGTAGTATTTTATTATACTGCTTGGTTACAAACTTATACTCCCTCCGTTCCAAACTGTAAATCGTTTTGATTTTCTAAATACTTTTACTATATATCTAGATATAGTGTATATCTAAGTGTATAATAAAAACTATGTATCCAGAAAAAACAAAACGATTGACTTATAATTTGGAATGGGGGTATAATTTAAAGAGTCTAACTGCAGATACTAGGGCCTTGTTTAGATCACCTCCAAATTCCAAGTTTTTTCACTCTCTCTCCATCACATCAATTTTTGGACGCATGTATGGAGTATTAAATGTAGGTAAAAAAATAACTAATTACACAGTTTGGTTGTAAATCACGAGATGGATCTTTTGAGCCTAGTTAGTCCATGATCGGACAAAGTTTGTCAAATACAAACGAAACGTGCTACAGTGTCCAAGTTGCAAAAATTTGCAATCTAAACAAGGCCTAGTAAATAATAGCCAATAATATTGATTATGTCGTCGTGAAATAGTAATAAACAGATAAATCAGAAGTTCTCGGTAATCTTGTGTAGAAGGGATGGCAACTATGGACCGACGTCTCCTGAAAGCAGCCACATCCGGCGACGCTGCATCACTGAAACAACTGGCATCTCATGACCCGGGCGTGCTGCTTGGGACAACTCCACCGGGCAACACCTGCCTCCACATCTCGTCCATCCAGGGCCACGAGGAACTCTGCGAGAGCATCCTGGCGCTTGACCAATCCCCGGCGCTCCACTCCGCCGTCAACAAGGACGGCGAGACGCCGCTGCTTGCCGCCGTGGCAAGGGGCCGTGCGTCTCTAGCCTCTGCTCTGCTCAGGCGCTGCCGTGAGCGGCAGCTGTGCGAGGCGATCCTGAGGCAAGACAGGCACGGGTGCAACGCGCTGCACCACGCCGTCCGCAGGGGACACACGAAGCTGGCGCTCGAGCTGGTCGAAGTGGAGCCTGTCTTGTCGAGAGCCGTCAACGGGCGTAGCGAGTCACCTCTGTTCATCGCGGCGATGAGAAACTTCACGGAGGTGGCGGATAGACTGCTGGAGGTTCCTGATTCGGCTCACTCTGGAGCTTTCGGCTTCAATGTTCTCCATGCTGCTGTCAGAAGTGGAAATCTAGGTAACTGAATAGCACTAATAAGCATTGCATTGTGGTGAATCTTTTTACAAAATCTTGGCAGTGTTATGTAGTACGTTCTTGCATCAATGCAATTATGCAATGTAGTAGAGTGCTTAACCTTTTTCTTTTTTGTCCCTCGATTTGCTTTATTTCAGCTATCGCTAAAAAGGTTATGGAGACACGTCCGTGGCTAGCCACAGAGGAGAACGAGAATAGGCACACTCCAGTGCACCTGGCTGCATCTGACGGCGAGATTAACGCGCTAGCAGTATTGCTGGAGCATGATCCGTCTTTGGGGTACCTAACATCCACAGACGGTGACACTCTTCTCTGTGTCGCAGCATCTCAGGGCCATGGTGGTGTTGCTCGAGGGCTTCTTGAACACTGTCCAGATGCTCCCTACTGCGATCCAAGCAGCTCGACATGTCTTCACATTGCCGTGTTGTGTGGACATACAGAGTTTGTAAGATCTATCCTGGGGTTACAGCAGCTTGGCCACCTGATTAGCATGCTAAATGGAAGCGGAGAAACTGCTCTGCATCTCGCTGTCAGAAACTGCAAGCCGGACATGGTTGCTGCTTTACAGCTTCACGAGGACATAGACGTAACGGTGCTTAACAGCGCCGGTGACCCGGCAAGCCGGGTGTTGCCTGATGCCGCCAATCACACCGAGGCTTTAATCTCGGTACGCTTTTTTTTTCTCACCGTAAATATATATTTTAGTAGCAAATATGTCCTTGCATTTATAATGGGATGTACAATTGTATGGTGCTCATGCCAATAAGGCAATAATAAACAGCCTACTTCATGTCAAATCAAAAAAAAAATTAACAGCCTACTTTTGTTAGATTTAATTGGGCTTCATCTAACCTTATTTTAATTAAATAAAAAAATCAAGGAAAATATGATTTAATTAAGGTTGGCCTAACCTTATCTTGATCTGATATATTTACCTCCCCCAATATTAGAAATAACGATAAGTACCCTAAGGGCTTGTTTGGCTATTCGTATTCACCTCAATTCACTTATGTTGGAGTGGATTAGGGTGGAAATTCATTAATTTTCCACCCCAATCCAACCTAATATATGTGGTTTGAGGTGAATACGAGTGTAGTCAAACAAGGCCTAATGGACATCTAAATTAAACAATTATTAAATTAAGGAAAAAGATAAACTCAAAGTACCCACTATGTTGGTTTCTATTTCGTAGGTTCTGACTATTCATGAGAAACAAACTAATTCGACCATTATTAAAAATAACAAAAAAAGCTTCTGGATTTACTTATATTTGATATTATATAAAACAATAACCCAGAGTACCCTCTACATGTGCTTCTAGATTATCGTAGGTTCTGCAAGTTTTCATATATGGAAACAAAATTTCATATCTTGAGCATTACAATGCAAGCTAGAGTCTGCCTATCTGTGCTATTGAAATTACAAAGAAAACAATCTATGATCTAGAATCCATGCCATCTTAATATTAGTAATTGGAGGCATCTCAGAGAGCCTCCATGTTAATCCTCACAAGATGCTAAGGAAAAACAATAAATCCTAGAAATTCTCACAAAAATGAAAACCATCTTGCCTTTAATATAGTAGTCTCCAATCACCTATAACAGTTACCGGATCTATTCTATTTTTTCTAAAATATTACCCATCTTTTGCTATTACGAAAAATACATAATCTAACATCCTGAATTTGAATCTAAATTACCTACCTATAGCATTATAATAGATAATGCAAAGTAACTGCCTAAATTTCATTTTAAATTACCCACATCTACCATTATGAAAGATAATATAAAATAACCCCTTTAATTTGTGTCTAAATTATCCATCTCTACTGTTATAAAATTTTAAACTAATATATCCCTCAAATTTTTGTCTAGATACTAATATATAACCTATTATGGGAAAAATTCAATAAACATAAAGTATGACATATATGGTTCTAAATTACACATTTCTTCTACTCTTAAATTAAAATTAAGCATAAATGCTATGTGCCAAAATTTTAAGGGGTGCAATACAGGCTCAAATGACTGTTTATGACATTGCAGCAACCAAGAGTGTAGTTAGAACATAAAATCTAATAAAATACAAAAGGGAAATTCTAAATAAAAATGCAATAAGCACTAGAGTTTTGGGTTAACATATCGATAAAAAATAATTGCAGACAACTAATAAGATCAAAAGTTAAAAGCAAACATATAGATTCATCATGTCATCGAAAATAATGCAACAAGAACTAATATAACTCAATGCATATGAAAACCCCATATAGGTGCAATTCAAAGTATGACAATATGTATCCTAATATTACTAACTTGAGGATCTAAACATAGCATCCATATTAATTCTTACAAGATGCATTAGCAAAAGAATAAATCCTACAAATTATCATAATAATAAAAAACATCTGGCAGTTAGTTCGTCAACTCTAATCATCATAGAGAATAATAATTATAGGCTATATTCTATTTTCTAAAAATGAGCCGCTTTTGACATTGAAAAAAGGGAATAAATAACCCCCTATGTCTACATCTAAACTACTAACCTTTACCATCTTGAAAGATATTTTAATTAATATCTTCCCTAAATTTTCTTTTAGATTACCTGACTCTACCATTATGGAAGATAACACAAAGTAACACCTTTAATTGCATCTAAATTAGTCGTATTTGCCTCTATCAAATAGAAACTAAAACATCCCTCGAATCTAAATCTAAATTACCGGTATAAGCTATTATGAGAAAGAATTAAATAACCATAAACTATACTATAAATATGGTTCTAATTACTTGGGTTCTACTACTGTTAAATTCAATGTAGACATAGATGCTATGTGTCACAATTTATACCAAGTATACATGGATACATTAGTGATAAATTTATATTTTTGTAGTTTATCGATCATGAAAATATAATGTTCCCTTAACAAACCACATATAAATGACACCGATAGTTCATTTTAAATTATATTGAAACTCTATGGCACATAATTTTATAAGTTGCTAGTTTTTAAAAGGACAAGTTACTTTATATAAGTTTATATTTTTCGACAAAATCCTTATGACATATTGTGCAGGTAGTTTCATTTGAAGCACTCTATTTTTTATAAAACAATACCTATATATTTTAAAATACTACACATATAATTTTATATCAACTCCCGCAACTTTTTAAAACACTTATATATTTTAAAAAATTGCTAGCATATACAGAAGCAGGAGCAGGAGTCGAACCGACCAGTTAGATTTAATTTATTCGTTATATTCGATCAAACGTTTACTAACAAGTAGTAGCATTCAGTCGGAAAAAAAAACAAGTAGTAGCATTCTTATATTTGCTATATTTTAGACGACGGCACACCAAACAGCTACGGCCGCCGTTAATTCGACAGGAGCTGCCATAACCACACCCTCCAATGGAGCAACTATGATGAATTCATCATCAGGAGCTCCCACGACTCCACCACCATCAGTATCATTGGCAATCCACCAACGTCTCCTGGGCGCAGTCGTGTGCGGCAACTCCGCGGAAATGAAGCACATGGCCCTGCAGACCCCGGGGGTGCTGCTGGGAACAACTCCTCAGGGGAACACCTGCCTCCACATCGCCTGCATCCATGGCCACGAGAGGTTCTGCAGGGACGTCCTGGCGCTGACGACCAACCAGCAGTCTCTGGCCCCGGCGGCGCCTCTTCTCGGCGCCGTCAATGCCGATGGCGAGACGCCGCTGCTCGCCGCCGTGGCCAGCGGCCACGTCTCCCTGGCCTCGTTCATCCTCGGGCGCTGCCGTGACGAGCGGCTGAGCGAGGCGATACAGACGCAGGACAAGCGCGGGTTCAACGCGCTGCACCACGCCATCCGCAGCGGGCACCGGAAGCTCGCCCTCCAGCTGATCGACGCGGAGCCCGGCTTGTCGAAAGCTGTGAACAAGTACGACGAGTCGCCCATGTTCATCGCGGTGATGAGGAACTACGCGGAGGTCTCCGAGAAACTGCTGGAGATCCCTGATTCTGCTCACGGGGGAGCGTATGGCTACAATGCTCTGCATGCTGCCGTCAGAAGTGGCAATCCAGGTATGCATGTCTTCTCTTCTTTTTATAAAAGAAGAATGTATGATGATGCCATGCATGGCTGTTAACCATGCATGTCCTGCCACGTACGATTTGGTTTCTCAGTTGTCGCGAAAAGGATCATGGAGACACGTCCCGGGCTGGCCAGAGAAGAAGACGAGCACAAGACGACTCCAATGCACATGTCTGTGCACTGGGACAAGATTGACGTGCTGAGAGTGCTGCTGGAGCATGATTGGTCCCTAGGGTACGTACTCGACTCCGAAGGTCGCCCTATTCTTGCTTCAGCTGCGAGTCGAGGATACGTTGGTGCTGCCCGAGAGCTTCTCAAGCATTGCCCAGATGCTCCCTACGCCCATGCAGATGGCACAACGACATGCCTTCACCAAGCCGTTCAGGGTGGTCCGAGAGTGCAATCCCAAGATAGTCAAAGCTTTGCTGCAACACCCGGACACCGACGTCACAGTGCTCAACGACTCGGGTAACCCGGCTACCTGGGTACTATCTACCGACCACGCCAAGACTTTAAACTGGGTACGCTTAATTATTTTCTCTTGGACTTGCATTGTTTTTTCCGGTCCCCTTGACTAGTCGGATCCCTTGACGACGTATATATTCATTACATACAAATACAATACAATAATATCAGCCTAAATATATGTTTTAAGTTCTCATCATATTATAAATCTATGTTTTCGATTTTTTCAAATGATCTCGAATGGATACATGACCTATATCAAAGTAGTAGTGCTCAATGTGCTCGATCTAAAACTTTCTAATTGATTTGTTTTCGTTTGAGATAGTTTAGGTTGCGAAATATTTTATAAAAAGATTCAGAGAAGTTGATACAAGGGATGTCATGGTATATTCACTCATAGGTGACTGTGAGCGAGGTAAGATGACACAAGTTCAAGTCCTAGAAAATGCATGCACATGTATTTCTTAGTGGTAGGAAACCCGCCTCTAGAAATGCTTGATATCGGTATACTAAGTAGTGGGTGCTAGTCTATGATTGTGGGTTGAACGACAACAACACTATGGGGCAGAGCAGTCTGATTTTCTTTCCTTTTTTTGTAATTTTTAACAATTTGCAAGATAGAGGGTGTTTATATCTTATGAGTATATTTGGACACTTATGGACTTATACAACTACGAATGATTAAACGTTTACATATATTGCATAGCAATCTGGAAACTTATCCTGTGCACATTAATAAACGATCCATACAAACTATTTTAGAGGGGAAAAAACAAATGACCATGTTCAAATCAACAACCACCGCAAGATATGCACCATTAAATTGTTGAAATCAATGACAGATAGGTAAGCAACTAAAGATATATGGTTGTCAAAATGAATAAGTACTCTGTAGCCTTCTTTTTTAAACAAGAGGATACTATTAAAACATTGTAACAGAAATATATCAGCACCTGAGAAAAACAGTTTGCTACCACTAACTAGCGGACACAATGGTGGAATATTGTCTTTTTTGAGTATTTTGCTGATGTGTGCTCCACACATACCTTTCTTTGAGACCTTGTAGAATGAAGTCTTCATGCTTATGCTGAAAGCTGATCCTGAAGCAGCAAATGATACTTATAACCTTCATAAGCAAATCAAGGATCGAGTAACTTCTGAATCAAGGAAGGATATAAAGACATTGACTCAGACATATACAAGCAACACTTCTTTAGTGGCAATCCTCATTGCAACATTCACCTTTGCTGCTGCTTTCACCTTGCCTGGAGGATATAGCAATGATGCTGCAAGTGAGGGGCTATCCATCATGGCAAGAAAGATTGCATTCCAGGCATTCTTGATCTCTGATTCCTTGGCAATGTTCTCCTCGCTGGCTGTTGCTTTCATATCCATAATAGCAAGATGGGAGGACTTTGAGTTTTTGCTTCATTACAGATCCTTTACTAAGAAACTTATGTGGGTTGGCTACATAGCAACCACCACAGCATTTGCAACTGGTCTATACACAGTTTTAGCCCCTCGCCTCCTATGGTTGGCTATAACAATTTGCCTTATGTCGGTTCTACTGCCCGTTCTTACGAAGCTACTAGGTGACTGGCCTGTCTTGAAGCTTAGAATTCATCTGGGCAAAACATTCAAGTCAGAGCTCCTTGATATGGTCTGATTTCATGAACTCATCTTATTTCTTCCAACTACTCTCTGTTTTACTATATTTAAAAAAATACTATGTATGCTTCATGTTGTTTGAATAAATTAAATGTCATTGTGATTTTGAATGACATGTAAACACTAAACTTTGTATTTTGATGTTTGCATACAAGGTAACCAGTGTAGCTCTGGCCCTTTATCTGCAATGGATGTGCATAATAATTTTTTCTATGTTGGTTCTACTACCCATTCTTACAAACCTACATGCAGTGGCAGACACAAACAAAAAATCAGGGAAGAGGGATTATCTTCAACCTCTAGCAGGGAGCAACGTCTTTAATCTCTTCTTCCTCTCTTCTACTCCTAAAAATTGATTGGTGGGGGCAAAGGGGTGGGGTGCGCATCTTCAAACTCTAGCAGGGCACAATGTCTTTAATCTCTTCTTCCTGTTTTCCACTATTCCTAAAAATTTATTGGAATCACAAGGGGCTGCATGGCCAACCGACGAATGGTAGGGTGGGCTTGAGCCCCACTAATGGTCCCTTATCCTGCATGCAGTAGCAGGGGCAATGTTTTGGGGAAGATGAAAAGGAGCGCTCGATCGTCAGAACCTCGTATACGTGTGAAATGTATGTCTAGCTTCATAGCCATCATAAGGTCATGCAAAATGGGGACATCATGCTTTTTTGGCCAACCAAATCACCATCTTCGTCAGGATATATGGAACAAATTTAAAGCGGAGAGTTCTAGGACTTGCAGCTTATAGAGCGTGCTAGGAAAAAGCAAGCTTAACGGGTCATGAACCTCAAGTCGGGAGACGCAAATTCAAAATTCTTCCACCATAGGATCAACGACCGTGAAAGAAAGAACCATATCCAACGGTTGAAAAAGGGTCAAGGATGGGCTTTCAACCACGAGGACAAAGAAAAAGTAATTCGTGATCACTTTGCCGTTGTAATGGGGCGCCCATAGAACGCACACTAGATCTCAATTGGGACAACCTTGACCAGCCTGCGCTCCGACCTTCACTCGCTCGACGATCCTTTCTCGTGAGGATTTAAATCAAAACTGCCATTTTCCAAATGCCACCGACAAAGCTTAGGGCCTTGACGGCTATACTGGTGCTTTTCTCAGAGCATGCTTGGGATGTGATAAAAGGCGATTTTATGGAGGCGGTGATTGCTTTCCACAATCTACGGATCTCGAGCCTACCACTTCTAAACTCGGCCAACATTGTGCTAATACCAATGAAAGAGGGCGTTGATTATGTGACAGACTGTAGGCGGCCCATAAGCCTCATTCACTCATTTGCCAAAATCATTGCCAAAGCTCTGGCCCTAAGACTTGCTCCGTACATGAAGACCATAGTGCCACCTACACAAAGTGCATTTATTAAAAAGAGAAGCATCCATGACAATTTCATGGCTGTGTGAAACACAGCCACAGGTTTTGCTCAACGAAGTCCCCTGCACCCCTCTGATGCACGGTAGAGGCCTACGGCAAGGCGACCCCCTCTCACCGCTCTTATTTGTTATCACCATTGACCTGCTGCGACCCCTCCTGGACTTAGCAATAGAGAGAGCCATTCTAAGCAAGTTAAGGGGGACACATGCACAACATTAAAACCTCCATGTACACAGAAGATACAGCCCTCTTCATCAATCCTCGAAAGAAAGTCATCTCCACCTTGGCAAATATTCTTACTTGATTCAGAGAGGCAACAGGTCTCCTAACAAACTTTCAAGAATCCACAATAGTCCCAATACAGTGCTCCATTGCTGACCTCCCAGCAACACGAGTGCACTTTCTGATCAAGTACCTAGGCTTACCTCTCACCACTACGCGATTACGGCGTGTGGACCTTCAATTCCTTGTCGATAAGGCAGTTAGCAAATTTATCTCTTGGAATGGAAAAAACACAACTCCAACAGGTTGACTCACGCTGATCAAATCGGTGCTCATGTCACAACCGGTTTACCTGCTCACAGCCCTGCAGGCACCCAAGGAGGTGCTAGATGAAATTGACAATAAGAGGAAACAATTTATGTGGGCCGGTTCTAAAGCTTTGACCGGAGGAAAATGCAAAGTTAATTGGAGCCGTGCAAGAAGGCCAACGTGTACTGGAGGCCTGGGGATCCTACACTTGGGAAGGTTCACTACGGCGCTTAGGCTTCGATGGCTGTGGCATGAATGGAAGTCAAGCGATAAGCCCTGGGTGGGGGTCCGAAATCCCCTGCAACAGAACTGACCACCTCTTGTTTGCTGCTGCAACAAAGATTACCATTGGGGATGGCAAGAAAACTTCCTTTTGGTATGGGGCCTGGAGTCAAGGACAAAGGCAAAAAGATATTGCGCCAAACCTCTTCAAAATTTCTAAAAGGAAAAATAGATCCCTTTATGTTGCCACTCAAAATCAAAACTGGATCAAGGATCTTAACTTGCAGCACCGTGGCTTCAATGCACAACACTTTATCGAGTACGTGGCAATATGGCGTGTGGCAATATTGCAGCACGGTTGATGGTGAATATTGTGCAAACTCAGCTTACAGAGCCCAATTCTTAGGGTCGACAACAGCCAATTTTGGCACACCCATTAGGATGGATTGGGCACCACCTAAATGCAAATTATTTGGATGACTCGCCATCCAAAATAGACTTTGGATGGCAGATAGGCTCAAGGCGAGAGGTTGGTCCAACAACGTTGTTTGCCCCCTCTGTCGTAGAGAGCCAGAAACTGTCCTCCATCTTCTCGCTCATTGCAGATACTCCATGTGTATTCGGGAGGAACTTGCTGCTTCGATTGGACTCAGTGGCCTCTTTTTGCCTTCCTGGTTGCAAGCCGAATCGCTTCATCAATGGTGGACCTCCCTATCAGTCGTACCTTGCCACTCCAGGAAAGGAATGCGTTCTATGATCATCTTAGTTTCATGGGAAATTTGGAATGAAAGAAATGCACGAATATTCAATCACAAAGAGTTACCTCATAATCAGCTACTTCAGAAAATAAAAGATGAAAGCGAGATGTGGATTATGGCAGGAGCGAAACATCTAGCAATATTCAATCACAAAGAGTTACCTGAGAGTTTACAAAGTCTAGGAGGGGGTCGCTCCATATCACAGACTGGCACGGCACACGGGTCCCAACTCACACTAGAGCGAGCTAAATCGTGAGCACATGAGTTACAAGAGCGATTAGAATGGACGATCACGACCTCAATGAAGGACGAAGCAATCTCTGCTCGAGCTTCCCTGAAGAGCAAGCGGCCCACCCGGAGCTTGATCATAGTCACTGCTGGTTCAGAGAGCTCTTACCAGAGATAGGGAATCCGTCTCTAGGATGATCCAAGATAAACCATATTGTATGGCTGCTTGTAAGGCTGCAATGCAGGCCTCTGATTCCGCACATAAGGCATCATGCACCGTGTACAGATTACTAAGCTTGGGCAGTTTCTGGAACAGATGTATAGGACCCCTTCAGGGACGCAAAGCAAACACACAACATTAAATTTCGTAGACGAAGATTGTCGCCAGAGGCCCATACTTTCTGCTTCTAGGCAAACACAGCTCTATGGGCCGAAGCAACTACAAAGTGTACGTGTCCCGCCCTTTTTCCTCATAGGCCTGTAAAATGATGGAAAATGGACGGGTCGATGGGCACCGCGAAAGCAGGCCCATTGGTTCATGTCACCTCACTATTCTTAACAGTGTATATAGGAGTAAAATGTATAGGGCGATTTTGGACGAAGTTGACACTGAAGACGGGACAGACAAGCTTAATATATATAGAATAAACCTCATTCAACGTGAATTCGTACTAAATAAAACAGAATAAGGTAAAAAGTACTTTCTCCACTTCAACATATAGGTTGTATTAGTTAGGATTAAAAGAGGTGCAAATTTCAAAAAAATTAACTAAAACCATTACTCAAATTTGATATAAATTTCATAAACTGATTATATCTTGCAACAGAGTGTACTTCAAAGTTTTTTCCAAATGTTAATGTCCCTTGTAAAAATAAATGGAGCACACGGAATACAATGACAATAATGACAATAATTTGTTGTGCACAAGAATACTACTGTTTTATTTCACACTTGGATACTGTTGTTTGGATAAAAGGCTTCCGCCTGCATCTGTTAGGCAGTGCTTGCTCTGCTGCGGATGCTCCCATGTGCTTTTCTCTGCTATGCGATGCATGTGTTGTGCTTGTATCCACATGTCACTGTCACCCATCATAATTCTAAAAAATATTATACTCATGTTTACAGATGGATCAAAGCCATCATAGAACTAGGCATCACAGTAGGTATGCCATTGCTCAAGTTCAAAAATAAGATAGTTACATGCCATCACCCATTCAGGAAATACAGCCACAAGGTTGCTTCAGACCAAGAGACCCTCAAATCAGTTCATAACTGATGCAATTCTGAACCACCAAGTTTGGATATAAGTATATAAAAACAATAAACACAACTTTGCAGCCACTAACCGGCAGCACAGAGTTATAAATATGAGTGTGAAGCATTGTTAAAAATTACAAACAAATAAACACTTTCAGAGAGATTCCATTACATGCATATAAGAATAAATGGATGGCCAATAGATTTTTGAAATTGAAAATAAGCAAACTTACTTGTGTTTGATTGTGTTCCAAGCTTATTCACTTCTTTAGTCAGCCACAAAGCACGAAGTCTTGTTTCAAAGCCTAGAAATATCTCTTTGTTCGTGGCATCGTTAAAAGCCTCGGAAGCAAGGATCTTTACATCAAAAGACAGACCAACCATGTCCTTTAAGATTTTTTTTTTATTTTTAACACTTTTTGTAAACTAATTTTAAATCTAACACTGTTTAATTTTTTTTTCAAGGCTAACACTTTTTGCCGCGCTTATTGCCATGGCGCGGTGAAAGCGCTCAGTGCTTGCCGCCATGCATGGTGGCGCGGCGGGGCGATAATGACGGCGGCGATCGGGCGCCGACCGATGACGTGGTAGTTCTGCCGCGCCATAGACCATGGC